AGCGGTGACGGCGACGGTGCAGCGCGGGACGCCACCTCGGCGACGCTCGCACTCCACAGCGAAGCGCCCGCTCAGCCCTCGTGCCGTTTTTTCACGCACAAGCGTCACCAACTCCGAGGCCGTGCGTCGTGGCGTGGATACGGACTGACGTCGGTGGTGTGCCGGCAGTGCTCACAGGCGGCGGTGAACCAGTCCATAGCTCACACCTAGCAGGACAGAGAGCAGCGGGATGGGTCGGCAACTCTCCGTGCGGATGCGTTTCTCCCGTGTCTGCGGATGGGAGTGGTGTCCCCATTTCCCAGCAACTTCGCAGGCTGCCGTCAGAGAGGAAGGTGTTGATCATCGTTCTGTGCGAGCAGCGGGGCAGCGGGTACAAGATGGCACAGAAACACAATCAATGCACCGCCGGGGCCACGCCACGCAAAGCGTCGCGGGGGGCCAATTCAAGCGCACACGGCGTGAAGGGCCAATTCACATTCCAGTCACCAGGGGGCACGCAAGCACAAACTGTGCACACAACGGCGGAGATCGCAGCACGTGCGACTCAGACACTGTGGCGGACGAGCGGGTTGCCCGCTGCAGAGACAGAGCACAGACGCAGTCCCAAGAGTACCGCAGCACAGCCGATCCCAGAGGGCGGAGACATGGTGCCGCCATGCCTCGGAGCATCACAGGCTTGGGCTCGAGAGGGCACCAAGGTGTTTCGCACGGACCTCCAGCAGCACGGAGAAGCTACCGCGGAGGACATGATTGCGTTCCTCCCGTTTGCGGAGAGCTTCAGCTCAGGGCAAGCTGCCTCCTGGTGAGGCTGCTTGCGCGTTGCATGCTGGCTCCAAAACAGACTCGGCATGCTCCATTCCGTCCGTACAGATTCCTTTGCTGCTGTCACGGCTGCCGCGCGGGATGTGGCGCTCAGCTGCTCGTAAGATGCCTCCGCGAGAATCCAACCATGTGGACGCGGTGGAAGGGAGGGTTTCACACAACGATGTAAAAGCAGGCCAATCCGCTTTACGCAGGGCAAGGGTGGCTTTCTTCCGTCAAGGCAGCGTGTTTGCTAGTCGTGGAGTGACATCGTCCATCTCTACCAAGTAAGATATTAAGCAGTGGTCCGAATCCATGTAAGGGGCGAATGTCCGGTGGGAGATGCGTACGGCGCAATACGCAGCCACGTCAGGGGACGAGGCATTACGATGTGTGATCCATGTTGCCTGTGTCGGGTCATTTGCCAGCCCAAAATCCATATCGATTAGAACAGCGGCGAAATTATCGCCTCCAGTCCTTGATGGTACATATGACTGTCTCAGAGTTCATGATGTAAATTCAGTTCACCCGCGATAATCTCTTCGGGCCCAAGCGACAAACGATATTGATAAATGCGGATTATTGACCGATGGCTGTGGGAGGGTTGTAGAGATTCACCACGCAAATGCTGCAACAGCCTGGTGGAAATACACGGACAGCGATGGTCTCCAGGAGGTCTGTGCCAGGGAGCGTCAGGCGCTCGCACGGCAGAGAGTGGCGCACCAGAACGGCAACGCCACCACCGCGCCCAGTGCGGCCTGAAGGTAGTCATTATGGCCACATAATTTCGTCGCTACGTCACTACGGTCATTTATTTCCTGCAGAAGAACGGTGTCAGGCGGACGCTGCTCCAATCGTGCAGCAAATGCAATCTTTTTACGGACGAGAGGCCTGCAATGTTAAGCTGCCAAATAGTGATGAAGACATCCTCCTCGGTGGCAAGGTTCTTGTGAACGTCACCGCCACGGGCGACATCAACGGAGTGACCGCTGCGAAACGGTCGTGCAGTTCTGTCCGACAGTCTGCAGGCAGACCGCCTCACCTCCCCACACCGGGCATGGCGTGGAACACTCTCTGGGAATGAAGTCACCTTGGTCTCCGTCGTGCTCGCAGCAACGCCCTGCTGCGGAGTTCCTATACGCAACCAGAGCCCAAACACCGCGACAAGGTGCGACGTCATCGCTGGGGACCGTGGATACTAGCAACGGATGGCGGTGTCGACGTCCCCAAGTCAGCCGGGATTGGCATACTGCTCTCATCCCCGCATTCCTCGGAGATAATAGAAAAGGTCAGTACCAACGGCGGCACACGCCTATGCAGCCGCACGACGGAATCCCGTGCACTGCTCCCGGCCATGGAAAGGCTGATGATTCATCGTATCCGCCACAGGCGTAAAACCCTGCTTGTGGTTACAGACAGTCATTCCCTTCTAGCGGCTCTAAACAAGGGCCCGCTCAGTCAGACAGACTGGACGGAGGATAGGATCTGGCAGCGTCTCTTGACACTGACGTGTGCTGGCTGGTCCGTGCACCTGCAGTTTTGTTACGAACACTGCGGAGTACATGCTAACGAGCTTGCAGATCAGTATGCGACGCAGACTATGGAAACCGGACAATACACGGAGCAAGGAATCGCACCTTTGTGGCATACGGATCTGCTGACATGTTTTACTACCCAGCTCACCAACAAGTGGCGTAGTACCATTCGTCAAGACACTCATCGCTACTTGCTTTGCGGCACAAGGCCATCAGATCTCAGCGGTAAGGACCTGATCACTCAGGAAGTTCTACACCGTCAGGAACTGGTTCACCTCGCAAGGGCAAGGTGCGGGGAATCTGAGCTTTGGGCCAACTATACTGGGCTTTGAGAGACTGCACGAACCAATGCCGTTTCTGCAACATCTCACCGGAACAGTCTGCATACATGCGCTCTAACAACGATCCAACTGCACCGGGGACGGACACTGTTCCCCCGTCGGCGAGGGAGGAAGACGTCTCTCCAGTAAGGAGACGAACCATCACACGCCGTCGGAAGGAGAAATGTCCGCACTGCGATTCCACACTGGTGGGACACACGAACCACATCGGTCACTGTCGGTGCCTTCATCCGGAACACCCTCCACCGCTTCCCGAGCTCCACCGCGATTGCTGCGACACAGTCCTCCCCACACACAAAAAAGCACCGCACAGCACAGAAATCGCCGCGCACAAAACCCAGGCGCTACTCGGCACCGCAGCAGCAGTGCCAGGAGGCAATCACTGCTACCGCAGGATCAGCCAGCCTCCACAAGTGCAACAATTAGCCCGCAGAAAACACTGCAACAACTGCTTCCGGAATGTACAGACGCTCTGGCTGTGCGCCAACGGCTGGGCATCAAGAAGGACCTTCGCGCCGAAAGCTTCTCCCAATGGCAGCTGCCCCATAGCAGGAAACTCATGTCGCTGCTCGACCATCCCCTCGGCACCCTGGTGACATCGTGTGGCTAGACATGTCGGTAAAGAAAAAAATAAACGGCACAAATGAAGAGAAACCCAAATGAGTTTGCGACAGCAATATTTAAAAGAAGAAGAATGAGGAGTACAAAGGAAAAAGAACAAAAAGGCGAACCTTAAAAAAATGGAAAAAGTATAAAACCACCAGAAAACTTTCCAAAAATATGCGTGTGGTATACGCAGTAAAAAGAAGCACACACAAAAAAGAAAACATCAAATGCCACATTCACAAAGCAAACGCTCCGGCTTTGTAGAGACAAGGAGTGAAGTTTCAGAATCGGTACTTATGGATATTCGTGGGGCGAAAATACAGAGTCCTCAAAAAGTGCACCTTGAGGATGCGTCACACACTCATATGCAAAAAGAGAAGAAAAAACACTGAAGAACAACTAAAAACATACCCATATATATTCTTACTTGCTGTATTTCCTTTTTTTTTTCTGGTATTTGAAGCAAGGTGGAGCATCAACAATTTGCGTAGTCTTTTAACTGCAATTGCTTCGCTTATTCCCACGCAATTTGAAGTTTTCATTTTTCCTTTGGCATCCAAATAATTTCTTGTGCCCCAAACATCCTTGGATCTCAATGTCAAAACTTTCGTCGACTGGCATGTGGATCAACAAGTGAGTTTAGCCAGGAGATTGATTCCAATGTAAGAGAGTCTCGTGAACTTCTGACCCCTTCTTCTTCGACCCCGGGAACTTGAGAAGACAATACAGGTACGAGAAGCGTTGTTTTACTTGCCAGATCACGATCAGCCCTTTCAAGAAGCGGCGTGATATCGACGGGCTTTCTAAAGGGTGGTATTTGCATCTGGTGGGAAGAAAAGAGAAAAAAACCTTCTTCAAACAAATTACCGTTCAGATTATCCCCAAACAACGGCCCAAACCGGCACTCACCTGCACTGCCGCTGACGTTGCCCATTGCCCCACGAGAAATAGCAGACGGCCCGTGCATCTGTGAGCCCCTTCCTTGCCACATATCCTCCGAAGCTTCATCTGCACTCCCAAAAGAACGCAAGCCCCCAGACTGCCGATGTAACTCGCAACCCAAATTGGGCGTATTCACCTGTCTGCCGACCGCTGGGTCGTTATCAGTACGTGAGAAAGATCGAGTAAAATTTAACTTTACATCACTTGAGTCATCTGCCACAACAAGGGGAAGGGAAAGATTATTCTGCACATTAGAAGAATCCAAACGAAATGGGTCAATTGCACGCGGTGTGGCTACTGCAATCAAGTTCTCTGGGCTCAAAGTGCTTTCTCGGCGAGAATCTGGGGCCTGAAACAAAAACATATCCTCTCTTGGCCCTGCAATTCCGCAAGAAGCACTGGGTGCCACAAAGAGGGAACCTTCTGTATCTGGTCTCGGAGCAAAAACTAAAGTGCCCTGATGGATAGCTGTCCCATTGGTTGAGGATGTGCCGCCGCTCATCATACCAGACGTCTCTTGTCTCGTCAAGGGATGAGAAATTGGCGAGCACCGTTTTGCTAGACCTTCTCCACAATTTCTTCCAACTCGCGCGATTGCACCCTGTGAGGGTATAATGCCCGGGTCCTCTGCCTTTATGCTTGTAGTGAGTATTGACTGTTCTTCACATGCGCAAATCCGATCATTAACAGCGGTGTCAATCGGCAGGCATTCTTCATAAAAGGAGAAACATTCTCCATTATGCATAAAAGATGAGGAAGTACTGGGACTTCCAAAAGAAGCATATCTCAATCGGTGTTGTGCAGCAACCTCCGCTTTCTGTTCACAAGCATCTCGAACTGTCGGTCTAACTAGACTTTTAACTTCCTCGATCTCCGGGAAAAAGACAATAACGTCAGGAGCAGCATTCGAATGTTTTTCGATTCCAAACTGAGCCGACTCACAGTTACCGCCAGGGATAAGCTCCGCCGCTGAATGCTTGGCGGCAGGAAGCTGAGAGTGGGTCGGTGTCCAAGTTAATTGTAGTTCTCTCGCATCGCCCCTACTAACTCCATCTCCTTCAGCGTTAGATACAAAATGCGGATGAGAACTCCCACCCATAACCATTAAAAACACAAAGTAATGTTCAAGAATCGGCGTGTTATCTAAACTTCTTTTATTTCTTTTGTGCTAATAAACAATCACAAAGAAACAAAAAAGAATTTCATCGTTGTATTAAAAAAAAAAAAATGATTAGATAAGAAAAACGCAAAATTCATCCACGCATAGTGTTAAATGGGGTAGGAAGTAAACATTTGGGTTCACCTCCGAAGGTGTACATCTTCTTGAAGCACGTCACAATATTGACAAGAGACAAATGCCTTCCTTTTCAAAAGAAAAAAGGGAGGTTATCAAGATCAGAGCCCTTCTCACAATCCACAAAGGCGTCGGCGTTATTTCCCAATGCTTTTTTTGAGTAGTAAACTAAGGCCTCGCTCGGAAACGATATATGGCACACAGAAAAAATCCTTTTGACCTCAGCGAGATCCTCTTCCTCGTGTTGTTCACAAAGATTGCCTATATTCAAGCAATGCAGATCCGTGTGTGGTAGAGAACGCAGAAATAACAGCACAACCGAAATCCCGTTCCAACCACGGTTTTTTATGACATCTGCGTCAACAAATGCCTCAAGTGGGACACGAACAATGCCGAACCCTAATTCGTAAGCAACCATTTGTAGCTTTGCGTCTCCGTCGGGTATACGCATAAAGTGTGCCAAAATAGCTAACCGCGGGGCCAAAGAGGTATTGCACTGATCCTTGGAAGCTGTTTCTTCAGATGATTGCAAGAGACATTTGCAAGTAGTGAGAAGGGCCTTAATGTCCACTCGGTAATATAATAAATCAGATCCCAATACCATACGAATATCTCCAGTTTTTACGTGGTTCGGGGAATTGGAAAATCTTCTTATAGTGGAAATAAGTCGAACCGTATCATCTTCACACCATTCCAATGGATACGCTACTAGGACACGATGTTCGTTGTTCTCAAAGACCCCGCTGAAACCTTTACCATTAATCTGTATGAGCGTTAAACCATTTCTTTCTGCACTCGCGCCAATCAAATTCAAACAGTCGACTGAAGCATCAGTAAATGCCACGGATAATTCTGGAAAGAGCGTAGCCGCCGTAAATCCAACCAGTCCACAGCCACAGCCCAATTCAACAACCCAGGAACTTGGATATCCACATGTGTCATACTCAAATGTATACGGCAATAATACCCTTCCAAACCTAGCAACAAAAGCTGCAAGTACCCGTGCACCTTCGTAAACCCGAAGGCCAGTTGAGCACGGCGACATATACTTGTCAGTTTCCTGCTTGTCATGTGGTTCCGTACACCGAATGTAATGATCCATTGCCGTGGCACAAGCAAGTTCAAAACTTAGTGATGAGGCGCCATTCTCGGCAGTAATCACCTCAAAATCCTCATAATGCATGCGATATTGTATCAATTAAACTATATAGTGACGACAAAATGGAATTAATCCATATCAGAGTCACATTCTTAGGAAAGTACAACAATCAGATACAAATAATAAGAAAAAAGAAGGACTAAGCCAAATATATAAAAAAAACCGCGTCATTCTTCTTCTTAAATTTCTAGCTTTGCCTTTAAAGTATGTTCTAACCAACAGTAAGCATTTCACTCCACCTTCCGTCGGGCCCTCTTTACCAGACGCATGGTATAGAAGTAGTAGAAGCCAAGCCCCATAACAATACACAAAAAACACAGGAACAGTAAACCAAAGACCTGAGCAGCCGCCACATCTACTTCCTTCATAAACAAAAACGGTCGAATTTTTTGCCTTTTATTGGTTGGAACATTTTCAAAGACAAAAGAAGGCAATGCACGATACAGGGCCAGCCAGCATAAAAGCGAAGGTCGTGACAAAGACATCATGAAATAATGGTAGCCTATTTCAACAAATACAAAAAAAAAAGCGTAAAAGAAAAAACCGCACTAACCGTGTGAAGGAATGATCAACCTCAGTACGAAAGGTAGTCCATAACCAACGGGCCGCGCAAAGCAATAAAAAAAAAAAGCCTTCCATCTCACCCGTAAAAAGTTTTTCATCGCACACGCAATGGCAACCACATGAACAAGCCCCTGATTCAAAACGAAAAACAGCCCTTAAACCCCACAACCCGAGAAGAACCCCAACGAAAAACAGGGGACAGCGCCGCTCTCACGAAGCAAGAAAAAAAGTCGACGGCTCAAAAAGCCCTCGTTGGAAGACAATGTGTTCTCTCGCTGTTCTTCTTTCGTCCTCTTTCCCCCGCGTCTTCTCAGACAAATGCGACGGCCCGCACGCCAGCCAGCATCGTGAAGCACGTACGCCCTACTACGCGGACCTGCGCGGCAACAGCGCAGCCCCGCGAGGGAAACACTGCTGGCTCCCGGCTTCCCCGGGAATGCGGGGAAAAAGGCCCCGACACCACGGCGGCGGTCTCCCGTTGGGTTCTTCGCTTCGTACTGGTGGACTCCTGATGGTGTGTCGCCCGGTCCGCCCACACGACCCTGGGCGGCGCGGAGGTGACTGGCGGTGTCGCCCCTGCCCGACAGGCCCGGCAATCGACCGTGATACGCGCAACGCCGGCACCCAAGTGTATTTTTCGCCGCGGCCTCCGCGTCAGGCGCGCCGCTCCTGCGGGAACGTCGCTGGCGTTGCGGGGCGCGCCCCGATATGCGTTGGTGGCGCGGGAAGGCGCTCTTTCCACCAACGGAGAGAAGACCCTCGTGACGAGTGGGCTTCTTATGTAAGTAACTCGGGAAATCTGAGTGTGTCACTGACGAGCCAACGGGGGAATCGTTAGATGGTGACGCTGATGCCGCCCGCCCAACGACCTCCACGAGACCGTGCCCGCCATCCCCTTTAATAGCGAGCGGACCCTCCGTGCGTCACCGCGAGCCGCTTGCCCACACCGGGGGAGAAAGGAGTGAGGCGGGAGAGGAGGACAGCGAGGATGTCGGCAGCCGCCACGCACACAACTAGTGCCTGTTCCGCTCCGTACGTGACGTTTCTGTGCCTTTTCGTTTCAGATTGCGATATCTGTTCGTTGATGTGTTGTTATGCTTTTTTTGTTTGCACCCATTTCCCCTGCTTCCGTGCGGTGTTCCTCCGTGGCATTCGGGCGTTGTGCAAAGGTTAGGTTTAGAAAAACATCATCGAAACACGCAGTTGTGGAAAGCAAAGAAAACAGTAAAAGCATCGATAAAACACAGAATAAACTTCTTTTTTTTTTTTTTTGTTATACGACATTGTCGCTATTCATTGATCGCCCGAGGGCTGTCCGTCGAAACGTGGCCAAGTTTCCAGTCTCGAATAACGCTGTCATGCGACATGGATTTTCTCCGAAGATTCGAATGCTCAGTGGTCGACGACGAGGGCATTCCCTCAGTGGATGAGGCGGAGTCTCCCGTGGTCCGTCGGGGATCAGCAGCCCGTGGCGTCCGTGATGCAGCGGTGGCGGAAGAGCCTGGTCCATCTCGAGTACCCGCGTTTGTCCTTCCTGCGTGCCTTGCCTGCTGGCATGCTTGGATCTTCGGTGGCAACCTGCGCGCGAGGCGCCTGCTAAGAAGACGGTGGCGCCATTGCGGCATCCGCATGGGAGGCCCTCGCAAACTATTATAACGCCAGGCTGAGCACGTCCGGCATGTGCCCTCATACTGTGGACGGACAAGCGCACGCTGCCGCACGTTGGGCAGGAGGACGTCAATCCTCCGCTCGCTGGTCGACAAGGAGTTGCGGTGCTCACGTCGGGAAGAGGTTCCGGCGGAGGCAGAGGCGGGCCGGTCACCGCAGTGAGGGAGGGACGGCGCCACCGACACAGAGGGTTCCTTGTGATCCGCAGGGCGCGTGCAGGCCTGTCGAAGAGTGGGAAGGTGTTGCATCGCGCCCGTGCGCAGTGCCGCCACTCGGGGCACGATGTCCGGGTCAGCACCAGGAACAGAGTCCTCGCCACACCGACAGGCGCCTGTCACACGGTGTACGCGCCTTCCCTTTCCTCCTGGACATCCTTCCATTATAACCTCTTGACGGCGGTAAGGAAGCCCACGTGCCAGGCAGTGACGCAGTCCTGCGGGAGAGATCGTGCCATGACGGTGTCCGCGTTCGCTGTCACGCTGCGTGGGATTCCGCAGTGTCATGGGGAAATGTGGATTCAGCCGTGTGACCTCAATCCACCAGTGAAAGCGGCATGATGCAAATCTCTTCGGTGACGCCGTTGTCGTGCACCGCCAGTGGGCCAAAGAGGAGCGCCTCCATCGCCGAGAGGAAGTCTGTGGCGGCAGGAACTCGTGTTGGCGATTGGGATGCTGCTGCCAGGCGGGGAACTGGAAGTGTCCGAGGCCATGCTCAGTGGCAGGACACTCCGCTCGGCAGGAGCATGCAAGGCTGCCAGCAGCTGTGCGGTGAGGCTCCACAGGCAGCGCGGCTGTCCGGGGAGTCAAGTGGCAGCGCAGCGGATCCGAATGCATGCGCAGCGAGAGACAACGTGCCGTCCACCGCCAACACACTTGCGAGCGAATAACAAGACGTTGGCCATGAATAGGACACGTATGCCCGCACTGCCGTGGGCACGGGCAGCGACCCCGATTCACTCAACAACAGTGATCTAATGCCCTTGGATGGTACAACAGCCACGCCTGGGCCCAGCACAGCCCTAGCAATTGTTGAACGAGTGATAACGTGTCGGGTGGCGGTGATGCCGCACAGGATTATTTGCTCACAACTTCTGGAAAATCAGAGATCCCATCGGAGCACGACGCAGCATCACTTGTGAGCAACGTTTTTGTGAGCACGGGCATTTCACGGATTTTTTGGCCATGGCCGAAATTGGTGACATCGCCGTGCGTGGGTGTGTGTCTCGGGTGTTGTTGCTTATGATTCTGGGGCTGTGAGGCTTTGCGGCGCTCTGCTGAGGTGTGAGGGAGGATGGAACTGCGGCTTTTCGTGGAGCAATAACTGTGCAGCCTGCCAGCATTATCCACTGAGTTTTGTCAATAATTTAAGTTTTTTTATTTTATTTATTTATTTATTTTCGCTGCTTTTGCCCTATTGCAATAATCAGCATCCCTGTGTTTTTCCCCAATGCTCTTTTGCAGTACTTTGTCATGCGTGACGTGCTCTTCCTTTTTGTCTTTTTTCCTTCTCTTGCCCAAACGCGGTGCCGACCCTGCGGCTGTGCGTCCCACGGACTGCACGAATGGAGGATTGGAAGAAAAGACTGGGTGACGCACGAAATGTGAGGAGAGTTGTGTGGGCTCACGGAAAAGCACGATCTTTTTTGATTTTTTACTGCAGGCATTACGTATACAAAAACTAGTGGTCGTTTACATTTTGCTGCTTGGCAAATAAAATAAAATTTGTGCCTGATCGATTATTATTATTATATATATATATATTGAGTCATGCCGGACTCTCAACTCTGCTGTTGTTCTTTTCTACTGCATTTTAAACATGTAGTTTGCAGGGCGGTGTGTGAGTTCTGCAATTGTACTGATTCCATCTACCTCATGGTGTGTGCATTGCCATTTGTGACTGTGCGGTGACTGTGCGTGGTGTAGCAGCCGCGTCTCTCCTTTTTTCCTTCACTCTGCGTTGACGGGGAGTTAGTTTGTGCTGAAGGCTGCACGCAAGTGACAGGAGTGATGGCGATGATGATGACTGACCGTGTGCTGCTGGTGTGTGCCCTCTGCGTGCTGTGGTGCGGTGCCGGCGGTATATGTGACGAGAAGGCAGTGGGTGGCTGCATGGCGTCGGAAGTGTTGGGTGAAAATGGATCCAACATGCCTAACGGATGTGATAGAACTGCGCTCATGCTGTCATTGCGTTCTGTGTTGCCCATCATCGTTGCTGAAGTTTCAGGTGAAGAAGATGGTCCTTCGAAGGGAGGAAGTGGTGGAGGAGGCGGTGTAAATCCTGGTGGAAAAGATGGTGGAAAAGATGGTGCAGCCGGAGCCCCTGCTTCCGGTGGCGGAGGTAATTCTTCGGGGTCTGTTTCTCCTGGTGGTGGTTCGCCACATCACCCTGGTGCTGGCACGGTGACCAGTGGCAATCCTTTATCCCGCCCGCAAAATGCATCCCAAACGGAAGTTTTGCGGAGAGATGAAACAGAGAATCAGAGTCTCTCGTCGCCCAAAGGAAAGGCAGCAGATACACCAGTCAATGGAGCACAGACAAAAAATCCCGATAACTCAGTGATTGCGTTGCCCGACAATCTGGCAAGTAAGGAATCATCAAATAAGGTAAAATCAGAGTCCCTCACTGCGCCAGGCGCAGCACCGAAGCCGTCACCAGAGGGTCCAAATACGGAATTACAAGGCAAAGGAAAGGCATCACCGGAATTATCAGACGCAAAACTGCCGGAACCCAAAACTGAACATCAAACAACAACTTCAGAAGAAGGGAAGAATCGCAGCCAGAACACGAGTGCATCCACGGATTCACCCGCAAAACAAGGACGAAATAACGAAGATCCTGTATCCACTTCAGGAACAGCGGAGAGTATATCAACTGGCAGTCAAGAACAAGCAGCAACGACATCTTCAAATGAAAGTTTTTCCCCACTTCAGGAAGAAACATCCACCGAAACGACAAATGTGGAGAATTCTCGACCTTCCGATACTGCACAGACAGAAAAACGACAAAATGGCGGTAAAGAAAAGGCTGGCGACGGTGACAGCAGCACCGCGGTCTCCCACTCCACCTCCCCTCTTTTGCTTCTTCTTCTTGTTGTTGCGTGTGCGGCTGCGGCTGCGGTGGTGGCCGCGTGAGAGTGAGGGAGAGAGAGCCGTGCACCGCCCGCACACACACTCGTCCTTCTCTCTCTGTGTGTGTGTCCCCTTGCATGGACTCTCGCCCTCACCTCACCCCACGAAGCACACACATAATGTGCCCATTGTATATATGCATGCACACCCATGCAGGCCCGTTGGTGCTCTCTTTTGCACGACACGCATCGCTGCCGTCCTGCCTGGCTGCATGGACGGAGCACCGTAACTGTTTCTGTTTTGTTTTTATTGCATTGAGTGGGCGACCTCTCTCTCTCTCCCTCTGTGTGTGTGTTTTGCTTTACGGGAGTAATGAGAGTGTGTGTGCGCTGGTCGTCCCACGCTTCGGCTTTTTGTTTTGTTTTCCTTTTTGATTTTGTGGTTGAGTGCACCCATTCCGCGGGCTGTGTGTGTGTGTGATGATATGAGTAATTTGCGTGTGTGCTATCTGCCTCTCTCTGCCGTTGCTTTCTTCAGACTCTCTTGTGGCGCACAGCTGCTCCGCAAGTATAGGCGCTGCCAAACACACATGCACATGCACACACACGCACACACGATATGTTGCAGACGCTGTGGAGCGGTGTGAACGCTGAGAGTGCACGCACGCACAGGATTGTGGCTGCGGAGGCCCTGCTAGGAGGGAGGTTGTCAGCCCGAGAATTCTTTCGTCGACGTGTGGAGGGTGTGATGTTTGCGGCGTGCAGCCGGTGAGTGGTGTGGCAGTGAGGGTGCCGTGGGCGAGTGCAGATTGATTCCCGCTTGGCATCTGTAACTGCAGACGTTTGTTTCCCGCTGTGGATCTGTTGATGAGTTATTCTCCGGCTGTGCGGGTGATGTGCGACAGCGTCGATGCACTGGGGGAGACAACAGCGGTGAAAGGACTGGCGGCAGCGCGTCGGTTCCGCGGAGGACGGTCGTGCTCTCTTGCATCCCGTTTGTTGATTTGCGTGTTGGTGTTGCTCGGTGTGTACTGGCGCGTGACTTCTGCTTGTGGTGGCAACAGTCGTTGTGTGTTCCCGCTGCAGTGATCTTACTTCTCCTGTTCCGTGTGTCTGTGTGCGTGAGTTGTTGTTGGGAGTGAGTGCGGCGGGGATGATGGTGCCACTCACTGTGGATGGGTGACGGTGCTCGCTGTTTCACCCCTTTCTTGGCATCTTTTCTCTCCACTTTCTCAATCACACACGAAGAAGCAAAATAGGCTATAATCGCTACTGTGAAATTCGAAGACACTGAAGGGACCAACAGCACACACACCGCCCACACACACATATTTATATGCTCTCACGTGTTGCTGCAGTTAAGGCACCCCGCACACACAACCGTCGCCGCGTGACCGGATCCAGCGGAAGGAGGAGGGAAGGAAGAGAGAGTGAGCGGCAGAGGCCCAACATGTCCCGGCATCTCTTCTACTCTGCGGTGCTGCTCCTCCTCGTCGTGATGATGTGCTGCGGTACCTGTGGAGCTGCGGCCGCTGGAGGGAATAATGGGAAGAGTGATTTGATAAATATTCATAAGCTGCAGAGGGTTTATCTATTTGTGCCGCAGACGACGCTGGTGCAGCCGACAGATGGGACTGTTCCAGTTACGACGAGGGATTCATTTGCGTCACTCTCTCTCGTCAGTGCTGGTGGAGTAATTGCTGCTTTCGCCGAGGGTTGCATGGATGCCGAGTGTCAAGGTGCTCCATTAATTAGGCCCTTTTCTTCTGATGTGGTTGCGGTGTAAATCGTCTCTGCGTGGGGTTGGTCCACCGTTGTTGCCGAGATCAATAAAATTACATGGAGCGCAGACACTGTGCTTGGTGCAGCGGAGGCAAAAGAACAAAGTTTGGTTGTTTTTGGCCAACCGACAACAATTGCGAAGGGAAATAAGGTGTTTCTTCTTTCAGAAAGCTTTCTTTGGTTCAATTTAAGCGGAAAAACTTTTTAGGACAGATTTGATCTGAAACTGGTTGTGGGTGATGTCACGAATCCCACGGGTGGCAAGCAGAGTGGATGGATCGAATGGGGCGACCCCAAACCACTCTCGAAGCTGATCACTTCTGCTTCTCACGAAGGTGACTGGACAAAGTTCATTGCTTCTGGTGGCGCAGGTGTAGTGATGGAGGATGGCACGCTTGTGTTTCCTCTGATGACGAAGGATGAGGCAGCAGACGTTTGCTCCACGATCATTTACTCGGCGGACAACGGCAGCGCCTGGGCGCTCGCAGTGGGCATGTATTCTGTGGAATGTCTTAACTCCCACACCACCGGATGGGAGGGATCACTTCTCATGATTGTTGACTGCGGGAATGGCCAGAGGGTGTACGAGTCGCGTGACATGGGGACAGCGTGGACGGAGGCACTTGGGACACTCTCAGGCGTGTGGACCAATTCACAATCGAAAGTCATTTTGGATCTGAGCTCGCATGTGGATGCCCTCATCACCGTGACCATTGGGGGCAGGAAGGTCATGCTGTACACTCAGAGAGGAGACTTCTCGGGGGAGAATGAGGCCAATGCGGTCCACCTTTGGGTCACGGACAACATCCGCTCGTTTTTTGTTGGGCCGGTTGCCATGGAGGATGGTATGAATTGGTTGTTCGCCAGCAACCTGCTGTACTCGGATGGCAACTTGCATCTTTTACAACAGAGGGAAAAAGATGAAGGCAGTGCCATTTCACTTTCCCGCCTGACGGAGGAACTGAGTGCAATCAAGTCCGTCCTCAGTAATTGGGCGCAAAAGGACGCCTTCTTCTCCAACTTGTCTACACCCACGGCGGGTCTGGTGGCAGTTTTGTCCGATGCGGCCAGCGATGACACGTGGAACGACGAGTACCTTTGCCTGAATGCGACGATGAGGAATGCAGTGAAGGACAACGATGGGTTACAAGTGACGGGACTTGAGTCCAGGGCAATATGGCCTGTGAACACTCGGGGTGATAAAGTGCGTCATGTATCTTTGAGCCACAACTTCACACTTGTGGCGTCGGTGACCATCGAGGTGACACCGAGTGGGAACACTCCTCTACTGACTGCGGTGCTGGCGGACACTGCGTCCAATCATACTGTGGGACTGTCGTGCAGCCATAATAAGAAGTGGGGACGGGGCTGAAAGGCAAGACAACAATACGTTGCAGCACTTGGGAGCCGAGGAAAGAATGCCAAGTGGCACTCGTGCTGCAAGGCAACAAGACCTCTGTGCACGTTGATGGTGAGTTTCTGAGGCAGGAAGAAGTGCTGTTGACAGGCGAGAGGCCACCTGAGGGTTCGCTTTGACGCGTGCGGTGGACAAGAATCTCATGTGACGCTGACGGACGTCTTTCTGTACAACCGCCCACTGAATTCCATTGCGATACGTGCACTCAAGGACAGGGTCCCCGTTCCGACGAGAGAAGCAGCTCCGACACCACCCGAGAAGATCAGAGTGGTTGACAGCGTCAGAGAGCACGTTGCTGGGGATATTACAGAAGAGAAATGAATGGGCACGACGCCCTGGAAACGAATCCCACCAAAAAAGTCACCTCGCAGGGTCTGGAGCGGCGTGAGTCCCGACGACCGCCTCGCCTCTCCCAACGACGAGAAATTGACACTGCGTGATTTAAGCGGTAACAACACCGTGCGTGTGTGCGT